CCGGGGCAAATTCTCCGCCACCCCCCCCCCCCCCCCACCGCAAGATGCTTTGTTGTGCCGAGGGGGACGAGAGCTGAGCGCAGCAAACTCGTGCCAGCGATGGTCCCCTCCCTCGCGGCCCTTCCCACCCCACGCTCCCAGGAGCTCCCACGCAAGGTCCCCCCCGTGCGGGTCCATGTCCGAGGGCAACCCCATCCCAGCGCTGCGCAGGACGGGGCTGCCCTTGGGCACCCTGCTTGGGACCCACCCAAGCCCCCCACGAGGGGCTGGAGGCAAAGCAGGTCTTCCCCCAGCGTCGCTCACGACGGCGCGTGGGACACGTACCTTGTATTTGGTGGCCAGCAGCTCCGTGGCCTCCTGTTCCTTCCGCAGATCCTCTATCATCTTCTCCTTCTCCTGCAGCAGCTTCTGCTTCTCCTCGCTCACCAGGCTGTGGTCATCCTGGATAGCGGCCTTCTCCTCTTCCAGCCTCTCCTTCTGCTCCTTCAAGTAATTCTCCATGTTCTTCTCCAGGCCGTCCTCATTGTCATCCTCCCCTTCGTTCTCCGTGGCGCTTTCTCCATCCGCCGCTTTCTTCCTCCGGCTGCTCCTTCTCCTCTTCTTGCCCAGCATGCCACGTTTCTCCAGCTGGGCCTTCAGCCGGACGATCTCCTCCTGAAACTCCCGCAGCAAGGTGTCCTTGGGGTCCTCGTTCACCCGGGGCTTGTTCTTGATGTTCTTGGCCCTGTTGGCGAACCTGAGGGTGGAGAGGCTCTCGTCGTAGCTGTGAGAGGCCGGGCCCAAGGTGGCCACCATGATTGTCTTGGCGTTGCCCCCGAGGGAGTCCTGCAGCAGGCGGGTCAGCTTGGAGTCCCGGTAGGGGATGTGTGTGCTCTTGCCGTCCACGAGGGCGGAGATGACGTTGCCCAGGGCGGAGAGGGAGAGGTTGATCTTGGACGCTTCCTTAGGGCGCTCTCCGTGGGCCCCCATTTTGCTCTGGCGCTCGCTGCCAGCCAGGTCCACCAGGTTGAGCTTGCCCACGCGGATGTGCTCCTCGCCGTCCGGCCCCATCTCGCTGCACTCGATGGTGATGAGGAAGATGGCGTGGGAGCGGGAGCTGTGCTCGTTCATGTTGGTGCTGCCCACGGACCGCGTCTGGCTCCCCAGGTTCATGACGTGCTCGATCTCCTTGACGTTCTTGGTGACGAAGGAGGAGAGGTCCTTGATGTAGACCCCCGTCTCGGGGTTCTCCTTCAGCTCCAGCTTCTTGCTCTGGTCCTTGGCGAGGAGGTCCCTGATCTCCTCCTGGTAGATCTCCAGGTACGAGGCCCTCACCAGGTACTGCTGGTTCTGCGAGCGGGAGATGTGGGTGAAGATGTGCTCGAAGGAGAGGGGGATGATGCCCCGCTTCTCCGGCTCCGCCCAGGCCCCCTGCATGGTGTAGGTCTTGCCGGTCCCGGTCTGGCCGTAGGCGAAGATGGTGCCGTTGAAGCCCTGCAGCACGCAGTCTATCAGCGGCCGGACCGTCTCATCGTAGAGGTCCGCCTGCTTGGAGCTGGCGTCGTAGACGGCGTCGAAGGTGAAGGTCTTGGGCAGCTCCCCGGGGGCGGCGCGGGGGTTCCGGATGCTCACCTGCCCCAGCTTCACGTCCAGCTCCAGGACGCGTGGGATGCAGGATGCAGGATTGGGATGCAGGGTGCAGGATTGGGATGCAGGATCAGGATGCAGGGCTGGGATGCAGGATGCAGGATTGGGATGCAGGGTGCAGGATTGGGATGCAGGATCAGGATGCAGGGCTGGGATGCAGGATGCAGGATTGGGATGCAGGGTGCAGGATTGGGATGCAGGATCAGGATGCAGGGCTGGGATGCAGGATGCAGGATTGGGATGCAGGGTGCAGGATTGGGATGCAGGATCAGGATGCAGGGCTGGGATGCAGGATGCAGGATTGGGATGCAGGGTGCAGGATTGGGATGCAGGATCAGGATGCAGGGCTGGGATGCAGGATGCAGGATTGGGATGCAGGGTGCAGGATTGGGATGCAGGATCAGGATGCAGGGCTGGGATGCAGGATGCAGGATTGGGATGCAGGGTGCAGGATTGGGATGCAGGATCAGGATGCAGGGCTGGGATGCAGGATGCAGGATTGGGATGCAGGGTGCAGGATTGGGATGCAGGATCAGGATGCAGGGCTGGGATGCAGGATGCAGGATTGGGATGCAGGGTGCAGGATTGGGATGCAGGATCAGGATGCAGGGCTGGGATGCAGGATGCAGGATTGGGATGCAGGGTGCAGGATTGGGATGCAGGATCAGGATGCAGGGCTGGGATGCAGGATGCAGGATTGGGATGCAGGGTGCAGGATTGGGATGCAGGATCAGGATGCAGGGCTGGGATGCAGGATGCAGGATTGGGATGCAGGGTGCAGGATTGGGATGCAGGATCAGGATGCAGGGCTGGGATGCAGGATGCAGGATTGGGATGCAGGGTGCAGGATTGGGATGCAGGATCAGGATGCAGGGCTGGGATGCAGGATGCAGGATTGGGATGCAGGGTGCAGGATTGGGATGCAGGATCAGGATGCAGGGCTGGGATGCAGGATGCAGGATTGGGATGCAGGGTGCAGGATTGGGATGCAGGATCAGGATGCAGGGCTGGGATGCAGGATGCAGGATTGGGATGCAGGGTGCAGGATTGGGATGCAGGATCAGGATGCAGGGCTGGGATGCAGGATGCAGGATTGGGATGCAGGGTGCAGGATTGGGATGCAGGATCAGGATGCAGGGCTGGGATGCAGGATGCAGGATTGGGATGCAGGGTGCAGGATTGGGATGCAGGATCAGGATGCAGGGCTGGGATGCAGGATGCAGGATTGGGATGCAGGGTGCAGGATTGGGATGCAGGATCAGGATGCAGGGCTGGGATGCAGGATGCAGGATTGGGATGCAGGGTGCAGGATTGGGATGCAGGATCAGGATGCAGGGCTGGGATGCAGGATGCAGGATTGGGATGCAGGGTGCAGGATTGGGATGCAGGATCAGGATGCAGGGCTGGGATGCAGGATGCAGGATTGGGATGCAGGGTGCAGGATTGGGATGCAGGATGCAGGATCAGGATGCAGGATCAGGATGCAGGGCTGGGATGCAGGGTGCAGGATTGGGATGCAGGGCGGAGGACTGGGATGAGGGATGCAGGATTGGGATGCAGGGCTGCAGGGCTGGGCTGCAGGGTGCAGGATCAGGATGCAGGACTGGGATGAGGGATGCAGGATCTGGATGCAGGACTGGGATGCGGGATGCAGGATTGGGATGCAGGGTGCAGAACAGAGAATGCAGGACTGGGATGATCTTAAGAGGAGGATATAATGTAAGTAAGTGGCAAATAAAATGCAGGGTGCAGGATCGGGATGCAGGGCTGGGATGCAGGATGCAGGGCTGGGATGCAGGATTGGGATGCAGGGTGCAGGATCAGGATGCAGGGTGCAGGATCTGGATGCAGGACTGGGATGAGGGATGCAGGATCTGGATGCAGGACTGGGATGCGGGATGCAGGGTGCAGGATGTAGGCTAAAGAATGCAGGACTGGGATGCGGGATGCAGGGTACCTGCTGTGGGATGCAGGGTGTGGGTTATGGGATGCAGAATTAGGATGTGGGATGCAGACTGATTTTGTGGGCTGCAGGGTTCAAGGACTGGAATGCCGGGTGCAGGATTGGGATGCGAGGTGCAGAGGACATGGCGCAGGATAAGGGGTGCAGGGTTGGGATGTGGGGGACATGATGCAGGATAAGGGGTGCAGGGTTGGGGTGCAGGGTACGTGACACAGGATAAGGGGTGCAGGGTTGGGGTGCAGGGTACGTGACACAGGATAAGGGGTGCAGGGTTGGGATGTGGGGGACATGGTGGGGGTGCAGGGTACGTGACGCAGGATAAGGGGTGCAGGGTTGGGGTGCAGGGGACATGACACAGGATAAGGGGTGCAGGGTTGGGATGTGGGGGACATGACGCAGGATAAGGGGTGCAGGGTTGGGGTGCAGGGGACATGACGCAGGATAAGGGGTGCAGGGTTGGGATGTGGGGGACATGACGCAGGATAAGGGGTGCAGGGTTGGGGTGCGGGGTACATGACACAGGATAAGGGGTGCAGGGTTGGGGTGCGGGGGACATGACGCAGGATAAGGGGTGCAGGGTTGGGGTGCGGGGGACATGACGCAGGATAAGGGGTGCAGGGTTGGGATGTGGGGGACATGATGCAGGATAAGGGGTGCAGGGTTGGGGTGCAGGGGCAGGCAGGGGGAGGTGCCCACCCCAGCCTTCCAGCAGGGACAGAGCGCGGGGTCTTTGCTCGGGACTGGCGGC